CCCAGGCAGGTCCTCGACATCCGCCATCTCAAGGCCTCGGGGAGGGACACGTCCGATTCGAGTCATTTGGAGCCCTGAACCAGCCGCATCGGCCCCTAGGTCGCGGCTAAAAAAGTTACTTACCGTAACAGTATTTATGTAAGGATTCGAAACAAAGACATTATTAGTATGGTGATAGTATCAATTATTTTAGTTAATAAAATCTTGATGATTGACATGCTCTTATTATTAAAAATATTATAAGAGTTTTGACTATTAACTTAAAGCTCAAAATGAATAATTCAGATTCAATAAACTTAATAGATCAGTTATCATAAACCGCTAGAAATTAGATTCGATTATAAATCATCCTACTTCACAGCGTTCGCATAACACAGCAGCAGGCCAACAGTCTTCTGCTGCTCAGCAGATTGGCATCTCCCAGGGGAGCACGCACACACCTTTACTCTCTTCCTTGCAGCAAACGGGTCATCCTTTTGTGGCCAGCAAAAGCAAGCATCTAAAATAGCTGTCAAATGTTACGGAAAGTAAACAAGATTAAACCCACTGACTGACCAGTAGCAAGTAGATGAAGAGTGATTGAGGTCTAGCAGATGCTGAGCAGATTCAGAAATGACACTGCCTTCTGGCTGTAATAAACGAGTGCCGTAAAGAAACCCAAGGCATGCTACTGCTTCCAACTAGCAATTAAAAGCTTTTAGAGCTGAGTTCAGTGGGTAGATCAAATACCAGCAATTACTCGCTACAGTGTTTGCACACTGCTCAGATGCAGGAGGGAGAGATGGGCATAGGATTACAAGTTTCATGTGCAAGCAGTGAATGGATGCATGTGATGTGATGTGATGTGATGTGTTGTGTTTGCTCCTCCACCAACTCAACCTTCAGAGAAGGCAAATGCATTGGCCAGATGGTGGAGTACCGGAAGTAGTTCCTTATTATTACGATTCTGTACTGCTTTCTTGCAGTACTTGTTTCCAGTTTCAAAACATTTGAAATATGTACTTTTTCATATTGCCTTATCTAATGGAGTTCGGAAGTGATTTCATGCTCTCTATTTGACTCATTAATTTATGAGTTATGTTCTTACATCTTATTATGATCCGATTTAACTCAATAATACAGAAAAATGTGTGTGAAATGGAGAGGAGAGGGAGAGTTCAAATGTTTGCCAACTCCGAGAACGAGGAGACAAGAAAGGAGAGTAACTTTTTTTACATGCATTATCGTCTCTTCCTTCACTGAATCACACCGTAAATCGAGTCCTGGAACACCGTGCAAGACTCCACGGATATCGAAGCACTCGCACATCTCCGAATCTTTCAGAGATCGCTTCGGTCTCTCACTGTCATCATCACATTTCTCCTTCCTTTTCCCCTCGAAATAAATCATACAGAAGAGGTCGGAATCTCGATGCCTGTTCCGGGCACTGAACTGTGAGACGCACTCGAGGAATATAAATCCATGCGCATCTTTTCTCGAGAAGAGAAGCTGAGATGAGCCAGTCTGCGATTCGCACGGCCTGTGCCGGTGTCTCTCGCAGTGCTCGAGCACATGGAGTGGATGATGGAGTTCGAAGCCTCGCAAGCATCGTCTCTTGTATACTACAAGAAGATTTGCACCTCATGACGTGACAGCAATGAGGAGTTTGTCCTTTGGCGAAGGGAATGTTAAGGTCTTTGCCCGGGCCTGATCCTTGCGGGGTGGAGAGCACGGCATGCGGTAGGCTTCAAAGTCGAGGGCAGGTGATCTCAAAGCAGTCGCTGATGCATGAAGTAGTTTTGTCTACACATCAACTCTCAATCTTGTGCAGTACTTGGACGACTCTACTGTTAGACCGGGCTCGAGTTCTCTGTGCAGATCCCGGTTTGCCGTCTTCTTCTTCTCTAAGAACTCGAACTGCACCGATCTTGGCTGGCACACGGACTCGGTACGGTACGTTGGGGAACACCTGAGAAATAACGTGGGTGGGATGATGACCCAAGGAGGATGCTTCCATTGATGACGGCATGGCTCTCTCATCTCGCGCATGTCGGACTGGGACGTGGGCGTGAGAGAGAGAGAGAGAGAGAGAGAGAGAGAGAGAGTACATCTTGGTGGAGAAGATGGAGATTACCTCCGTGAATGGTACATCTTCTTCATGAAATAGCAGACGAGAGCCTCAAAGTTGATGTTTTCTTACTACTGATTAATGGGATTTTGGTCGACACGTAAAAGGAAGGTTAGGGAAGAGAACATAAACAAGAAAACTACAAACAACATGTTGAAGCAAATTAATCAGATTTATCGAGATAAGCATAAAAGAAATCAGAACCATTCTTGGCGATGCAGATCCGAGATTGACAGCTCTCCGGACCAGCGGTTCCGCAGCTAGTCACATCAAACAGCTCGATATGACCCTCAAAAGTTGGAACACACGCGCCCGGTTGGGGCATAGCCTGAGTTGGTTCGGCTAACATACGGATGTGACTCGGCAATCTGATTGCGATCGGGTGGGTCTACTTGCAGCTGGCCCCACCCGTCGTGCAACTTTAACATCTCAAACATTCGAGTACATACGCCGCGTACGTATACAGTCACGGAATCGGCGTGTACAGGTGGCTGTGGTCGTGTAGTCGTGCGTGTCCCTCTCGCGTACGGGATGCGCCTTTTTTCGGCTAACCGGACAGATGTGTCACGTTGACGGCTCCGTTAGACGATGGGCTAAGCAACCAAGGGGATTATGGGACCCGTCAAAGGCTGGGAACCCTTTCGCTCAGGTGCGTGGCGCAGGTACAGGTGGGCCGGACAGACATCTCGGTACCGATCGACACCGGACAACTGATCGGCCATGATACTTTCAGGGGTGATGGGGCGGCCACATCATTCTCTGAACGATAGTCTCCTGGGGGGACTACCGCGGCCTGATGGGGCCGAGCACGAACTCTTCCGCGCAACCTCTGCTGTGCGGCTCGCGGCAGCGTTCGGGGGAGCCGCACTCTCACCGTGACGTGCATCACGCTCACTCTCTGGTGCGACCCACCGGATCCCTGAACCCTGCTGTGCCAGTTCGGGACACCGGAGTCGCAGCGATTGAGAGAAGGCGAGTTTGTGGTGCCGACGCGTGCCAAGTAGGATTGGCCTTTACCGGAGGTAAAATTTTGGGGTATATGTTTCGTGTTCTCCAAAAAAGCCGGTGTTATGTTCAGGTACACTAAAAGCGACTTTATTCTGCCCGGAAGGGAAGGCAGCTGCCAGTCGAGAGCTCTAACTTATCTCACTCGTTTCATGAGATGAAAGTGAAATGTACTCTGCCTCCCTCTCTCTCCTTTCGAGCTCTTCCCAATCTAACTCGCTTACTGCGGGACTTTATCAGCGTTCGGGAATGTTACGGTGAAGGCATCACTCGTTGCCTTGTTCTTCTCTTCTCCAGCGGTCAACACTGTTGGCCTTTCATTCAGGCTTAGATGTGCATCCGTCGGTCTTACAATCTTCGAGGAGTGTGGGGGAAGGTCCACCGGATCCCATGCCACTGGGGAATACAGAGAGAGAGAGAGAGAGAGAGAGAGAGAGAGAGGTAGAGAGAGAGGTAGAGAGATAAATAGAGGTTTTAAGAGGCCCGAGGCCGAGAGTACAAGAGATATAGTAATTATATTGGAGAGCAGCAGTAAAACCAGAGGAAAGCATCCATCCCTCTCCTTTCCTTTGCGCCTCTTCGCCGCCCCTAACTGGCTCACGTGAAGCCACTCCCGTGCTCAGAGATCGACGGATTCGCTCGCTTCAGCCACTCGCCAAGACTCATGCCCTCCTTCTCGAAATCGAAGTCGAGAGACCCGAGCTTTCCTTTTCCAGCGGGAGCAATGTCACTCGCACCTGACTTCCTCCTCCTCTTCCTCGTTCCCGTGGTGGCAGCAGCCTTCGGACGACCGCATTGAACCACCATTTGCACTCCCCAGCCCCTTCTGCTATGCTCTTATGCTACTTTCTCTCTCGATGGAATCGCAGCCCGTTTCTCCAAGGTGCGATTTTTATCTCTCCTTCCTCCTCCTCTGTTTGTCGTTCTCTTTCCTTCGCGCTTCCGCCGCCGGCGACTTTGATGCGCTTCTGGCCTTAAAGTCCTCAATAGATCCTCACGGCTCCCTGCCGTGGCGGCGAGAGTCCGCCTCTGGGCCCTGCGGCGGGTGGAAGGGGGTGAAGGAGTGCTCCCCTGATGGCAGAGTAACCAAGCTGGTGCTCGAATTCCTCAACCTCACCGGGTCATTGAACCGGGAATTCCTCGCTCCTCTCGACCAGCTTCGCGTCCTCAGCTTCAAGTCCAACTCGCTCTCCGGCAACATTCCCGACCTATCCCCGCTTGTCAACCTCAAATCCCTCTTCCTCAACGACAACCAGTTCTCCGGCCGGATCCCCGAAACCGTCGCCGCGCTCCACCGCCTAAAAGTGATCGTACTTTCCGACAACCTTCTCTCCGGCCCCATCCCGACGTCCCTCGCCGGACTCCCACGGCTTTACGCGCTCCTGCTACAAGACAACCGCCTAACGGGGAAGATCCCGGCCTTCAACCAACCCAGTCTCAGCTACCTCAACTTCTCGGGCAACAACCTCTCGGGTGAGATCCCGGCCACCCGCGCCCTCGTCCGCTTTAACCTTTCCTCCTTCCTCGGCAATTCCCACCTCTGCGGAGCTCAAATTGGAGCCCCCTGCACCCAGAAGTTGATCTTTCCGCCGCCGTCCCTCAGCCCAGAGTCGTCCTTTGGCCACGTAAATGCCTTTCCTCCCTTTCTCCCTCCCACCCACAATAAAAGCAGCAGGCGAAGGATCATAGGTATCGTCGCCGGCTCGGTCGCCGGGGCGGTGTTCCTATCGATATGCTTGGCTCTCGCGTTGCTATTGGCATGCAAGAGGAAGCTTAGAAGAGTGGTCGAGAGCCGATCGATCGGAGTCGGATTGGGTGGCCGCAGCAAGCCCGCGGAGGAAGACGGTGGCAGAAGAGGAGAAGGCGGCGGAGACGGAGGAGGAGGAGCAGGAGGCGAAGGAGCGAAAGGCGGGTTCTCATGGGAGGCGGAGGGGATCGGGAAGCTGGTGTTCTGCGGCGGCGTGGGTGAGATGTACAGCCTGGAGGAGCTGCTGCGTGCGTCTGCGGAGACGCTGGGGCGTGGGACGGTGGGGAGCACGTACAAGGCGGTGATGGAGTCCGGGTTCATCGTGACGGTGAAGCGGCTCAAAGAGGCGTCCCGCCCGCCCGCGGACGAATTCCGTCGCCGGATAGAGGACCTCGGCCGGCTACGTCACCCCAATCTGGTGCCCCTCCGCGCCTACTTCCACGCCAAGGAGGAGCGCCTCCTCGTCTACGACTACTTCCCCAATGGCAGCCTCTTCTCCCTCATCCACGGTCAGTTCCCGGTTCTCTCTGTCTTCTGTCTCACTGCTAATTTTACGTTTAAGTCCCTCCACTTATCTTTTATTATACATATCACCACATAGTAACAGTGTCGACAACTCATATAATACGCGTAAGGGTACGCCACGTAAATATGGTACCTATGGATTGCACATGAGATGGTGAAGACGAAGCATAGGGATACATGATGAGTCAATATGGGAACACAACCAGCATTCAATGCTGGATCAAGTTGGCATCGATCAGATGAATTGACGCATCTACTTAACTGGACCGGTTGGTGGTTGGCTCACTTTATTTTGAGCAGTACTAGTGCCACTTCGCTGTGACCACCCCATTAAATGGCCACCGATTGGGCAGAGCAGGTGTTGCTCGATCTCCGTTCTCGGTGAAAGCTCTACTTGTACTGCTTTCATGTATGAGAGAGATTCGTGTGCAGAGCAATTTGGAGAATCACAAATGGAATGCTACCGAGAACCGATTTGTGTGCTGCTTTCGACCCAACAAGGGTTGCCCGATTCAAAGTAAAACCTGTGTCAGGAGAGGCGGACGTCCCTGATCTGTGGCGGTGGATCCGCTGGCTGCCGGTGTGAGCTGTGGTAGCTTGGCACCGCTCTACCTCGTGTCTTTATGTCAGTACTCGTCTACCTTGTAGCCTTCCCGTTCAAATTTTAGATCCCGGTCAAAACAGTCTCTGTCCTTTCCTGACGACTGTTGTTGCTGCAGCTCTCTCTCATTCCTTGAGGCGGGTGGGGGGGAACATTAAATGGCCTGCTCGCATCGAAACAGAGGGTGGTGGGATTTCAACCATGATTTAGGTTGGCCCAGGTGGCCAAGCTTTGCCTCTCACTTTTTGTGATTCCTCTTCTCTTCTTTTCTTGCCGTGTTCTCTCTCGATCATGCAGAGCTTGACCTCTCCACCACCGCCCCCCCCCCCCCTGTACTTGGGGACTCGTGGTGTGTGGTGTGGGGCAGCAAGAGATGGTCACGTGGAGATCTTGTCGCATCTGTTTCGCGGTAGTTAGCACCGCTAGGGTAGTAGGGTACATAAAAAAAGCACGAATGGTATGATTTGTGTTACCGTGTTAAGTTGCATGGTGGCATCGGTTCTGCAGGGTCGCGTCCATCCGGGAGCGGGAAGCCGCTGCACTGGACGTCGTGCTTGAAGATAGCGGAGGACGTGGCCACCGGCCTCCTGTACCTCCACCAGAGCAACCCGCCGGCCGTGCACGCCAACCTCAAGCCCTCCAACGTCCTGCTTGGCCCAGACTTCGAGTCCTGCCTCGCCGACTATGCTCTAATCCCGTCCCTCCTCCTCCTTCCCCCGGCCTCACCCCACGACCTCGCCGCCCCCTCCTCCTCCGCCGCATCCTCCTCCCTCTTCTACCGCGCGCCCGAGTCCCGCCTTCCCAAGCCCTCCTTCACCCCCCTCTGCGACGTCTACAGCTTCGGCGTCCTCCTCCTGGAGCTCCTCACCGGGAAGACCCCGTTCCAGGACCTGGTGGAGGAGCACGGCGCCGACATCCCCCGGTGGGTCCGCTCCGTGCGGGAGGAGGAGCGGAACGACTCCGGCGAGGACCCCGGGTCGTCCGGGAACGAGGCATCCGAGGAGAAGCTGACGGCGCTGCTGAACATCGCTGTGGCGTGCGTAGCGGTAGAGCCGGAAAAGCGGCCGCCGATGCGGGAGGTGCTGCGGATGATCAGGGAGGCGCGGGCGGAGGTGATGGTCTCGTCCAACAGCAGCGACCACTCGCCGGGGAGGTGGTCGGACACGGTGCAGAGCTTGCCGAGGGAGCATGGATCGGAGGGCTTCGCGGAGAGGGATTAATGACGACGAAGGGAATAATTTGTGTGGGTGCGCGAGCGATTTCCTCGTGGATGGAAGTTGTAGAGCGCTGTAGCGCGAGTGTACCAAAGAATGTGACTATTGTTTTCCCCCGAGACTTGAAAGAAACTACTGGTTTTTGTTCTGGTCTTCTGTTCCACTAGTTTTCCGATCTTTTTGTATCTTTCATTTCAAGTTCACGATGTATTGTTTTCTTTAAACTTTGAAGGGATAAAAATAATGTTTCGTGTTTTATCTACAGCTTATTCCAAAGCAGAAATTTGAGATATATGTCAAAAATAAAATAAAAAACTTATGAGAGATGCTTATTAGATTTCATCAGCACAACCCAAATTGAGGTTTACAAGGGAAAACTTCATATTCCAAAAACCCAGATCTGAAACGATCTCAATTACATGGAGGCATCCTTCATTTTAAGCCAAAATTCTTGATTAACAAAAGCATGAACACAACATCAAATCTGAGAACCATGCATTTACAGGATCTGCACTGAAGAAACTAAAGAACATTTTTTTTTTTTTTTTGCACATATATGATTTCAAATCAAGACTTCACAGCCTCTTGATGTAGGTTGTTTCTGGACCCACAATCATGGTGGAATGATCATTGTGGTTCTCAACTGAGAGATTTGGATTTATTAAAAGGATGAAATATTCAAGATGCTGCTGAACGAGACCGAGCTGCAGCTCTTTCCAGTGCTCTCAAGCGGTTCGCTTCCATTCGTGCCCTTTGCTCTTCTGTAATCCGACTTTTGCTTGGCGTGGAGACACAACTAGCTGCTTCTTGATTTTGTGACACTGGTTCCTTTGTCGAACATAGCTGACGGTTTACTTCTGAGGCATGCGTCTGTTCCTGCTGCAAGGACTCACATGGTTCCTGCAGTTGCAATTGTAGTTTTGAAGCACAGGTTAACATCTAGGGTGATAAAACCAACAAAACTTTGTTTCCTATTAGACAGTTTCAAAGCATAAACTTTGTTTTAGCATCTAAATTTTAACCATATAATTTCAACTAGTGAAAGTTGAGCTGAATGAAAGGTTTGAGTACAACTAAACATGTATGAAGCTGCTGGATGAAAGGTATTAGCATGTAAAGTAAGCTAAAAACTACCAGTACAACGGAGGAAATTATTGTCTAAAGAACTTCCAAACAGTTGACATTGCCACATGCAGACTTGAAACAAAGCTTAAACATCTCTCACGGATCCAATTCTAAAAAGTTATTCATATTAACAAACCATTGATTGCCACAGAAGTTCTTTACTGCAAATCCTATTTAAGACATTACATGGTTGTGCTTGATCTCTCATTTCCTGCAGCCAGGACATGCCCGTAGTATGCAAATGCTCTTGTTAACTTCACCTAATTCCAGAAACAGAAAATGATCCTAAATTCTGCAGTCTATCATACAGTTTTAGATCAGCATTTACCATTTGCTTCATAACATTCAAACTAAAGATCAGGGATGGCTTATGTTGGTCAGCTGTGTCAAGTTAATACATAAATGAACATGAAACTCTCATCTGAAGCCTGGCCTTTATTTATTCTCTCAAAATTCTAAAACCAAGTTGGCCCGACATGCAACCTCAGTTGTTGGTTCACTAAACTTGACTGCTGTATTTTGGGGTGCCCCTGTGGGTTTCGCAACCCAGAATCAGTTGATGCACACTCATAACAAGGTGCTAAACCAACGCTCATACCATCTTCTAAATAACAATCATTAAGAAAGAAATAGGAGTGTGCACTCAAAATTGAAAAGCATGAATATATTATGATATCAACAGCATTGCTTATTACTCAATGGTCTTGAGGGCAGCCAATGTGAGATGAACCATCGGCGTTCTCAAGCAGTTAAACATCAGTTCAAAAGGTTCAGGAAATAAAAATGAAATAGAAGATGACTATGCAGGAAAAATCTTAAATAGTGATTACAACGAAAATTGAGAAAAAAGCCTAACGTAAGTAAAAAGATTCTTGGAAAGAAAATTAGATGGTTAAATGAATTTGCCACAGGAGAAAAGGCAAAATGTGTTACTTCAGTAGCTTTGTGGAAAATCTCTTCAAACATCTCTTGAATGTGATCGGCTTCATGACTCTCTAAAAATGGATCTACTGCATCAGCAACTGGATCTTCAACGACAGTATCATCTGCATCAAAGGTAAAAAAGATCAAATGAGATACTCAAAGTCATGCTACAAAAACATTGTCTTTGTCTTCTTTCCATGAAATTTGCTACATATATAAAGCCATAAATGACATGAGCTGACATCATAGAGGTGTAACTTAGCATCAGAATGTTAGATCTGCCTGTGGTTTACTAAAGAGGTATAAAATGATGGATCAACTCATAAATGGGAGCTGATTTCTTACCACAGAAACAAGTTTTTATCATTCCTTTATTTTAGGTGTATTTCAGTCTATACAGGCCAATTAACCTCTGGTTTGCCTCCATTTGAGGATGCATGTCAGTTGTAAAAAAATTGCAAGCATAAACTAAGTTTAAAAGAAATGAGATTGTAAGACAGTTTATGCAACTCAGATGGAAAGTCCAGGCAGGTATCATGTACCTTGTTCTGTTTCTGGAGCAACTTGTTCAACAGGGGGTTCATGCAGCTTTGTGGGGTCCCCACCTCTGGCAACTCTCTCATTCAATTCTGAGATGCATCTCTTGCGGGAAAAAAAAAAAGAGGAATAAAAAGAAACTCAGACATGTATTCACTTGTGAGCTTCAGTTGGGCAATAATATCTTGGAACAATTAGCTAATTACTCTGATATGATCAGAATATTCATCTTGAATGGTTTTCTTTGAACTTAGTTGGTGATTAATACAAACAGTAATATTTTCCTAATATTATAGAGAAAGCAATTATCAAGACCTTGTTCATGATAGGAGGCAGAAGAGAACATTTTAACATCATCATGTGAGACATCTCGGAACTTAAAAATAGAAGTTAAGGGTGAGATTTGCTGATGCATCTAGCACAACATAGATGGGCATATTGAAAACCAATCAAATTAAGCAACTGAAAGGATAAAGCTATAATGTTTTGATAGCAGTTTCAGAAGATGAGCGCAAAGCAAGAACAGAAGTTCCAAGTGCACCAAAAGATTAGTCCTCTTAAAATACTTCAAAAGAAAGTCACCAATTTCAACATCTTTAGCCCTAGACTCCAGAATCATTGTGAACAGGACATCCAACCACAACATAAGAAACAGATTCAGCATATTTACTCCAGGTAACATCCTCATCGCTAGTAATGCATCAACTTGAGCTTGTTCAAAGGTACAAAATGTGCTTAGTTGACAAATAATTTTTTCCATGCTAACAACAGCTCCAGAGTGACTCAAATAAGATCATATGAAGTTAAATTAGTTAATACTTAATATGCTATTTAAATGAAAACCTGGTCCCTTGGACTATCCCTGCATAATCAATGACAAGGTATGCACCCTTTGTAAATGAAAAGAAAATGCATAATGGCCGTGGTGAAGAGTTTAAACATGAAATGAAATATCAACCTAAGGTAACAGTTGGAAGTCCTCATATTCAAAACAAAATGGGAACCAAGATCAACATAGAAAGAGGTAATTAAGATCTAGTGTCAACTTCTATCATTACAGAAGGTTACAACCATGTGTATGAAAAGTTAGAAGTTAGATCCCTCTTTTTTACTGTATTCTCATATTCTGGAATAAGTACATGATGCAAAACTAAATCATCCTGTGTTTCTCTTAACTACACAATTCAGACATCATGTACCTGTATGTAGCTTCCAACAACAAAGGTAAGAGAAACATCAGTGACAGTTTACTCATAGATAAATCAGACAAACAATCTACAGAGATTATTCATTTTTTTTATTAAAAACTTTGGATTTGGGAAAATCAGCTTACCCTGACTCGCTTGCTGGCACCAACTTGCTCGACCTTGTGTACAAACTGATCAAAGGAGTAGTAAGGGATCAAATGCGAGTGCCATTGTGCATACAGACCAATCAAGTTACCAAGATCAGCCACCTGGAAGCAAAACACCAATACTAACTGAGGAATCTGATCAAAAGCCAACAACAGCACTTCTGAACCCTTCTTTAGGGAAAAATCTCCAAACAATTTTCAATCATCGACCGGAATCAAATATTTGCAACAAAGGAACCTTATAATTCCGATTACCAACAGCTGCACAAGGAGGATAAGTAAGCGGATAACAAACCCTAGAAATTACGACAGGGTCAAATGATCAATATATAGAAAGATTAATGGTTGTCATGGGAACCTCTCCAAAAGTGAAGGAAAAGATGCATTATTCAGCATTGAACGGTTAGGATACACTAACGAGATCGGATATGATAGAGAAACTCGAAACCAACAGCAAATGCTACTAATTGGGATGGAAAATCGAGTAGAAAGGGGCTTGCAGGCACGATCGATCTGAAAAAGCACCTAGAGAATACGTATTGATCTGTACCAAGACAAGAAGAGGATTACCTCATGGCCGCGCCCATGGTACTTGAAGGCACGAGGGAAATGGCGGAGGACGTAGCCGAGGCCATCGTCCGAGAGCAAGAGATCCGGAGTGAGCTTGGGCCTCGTCCTCGGGGCCTTCTTGGCGCTGGTCGCTGCAGCGGCAGAGGGCTTCTCGGGAGGCGGCTGCTGAGAGGATCTGGAGGAGAAGGCAGTAGCCTTGTTGAGGCCAGAGCTAGGGTTAGGGTTCCCCGAGGAGGAAGGGCAGTCTCGAGACCAGTGCCCCGGCCTCCCGCACTTGAAGCACCCGGTCGGCGCCGTCCCTCCCTTCCGGTTCCTCTCCATCCGTCTCTCTCTCTCTCTCCCCCGCTCCAACTCTTCGAAGGTCTCCTTTTCTACTGAGCTCCTTTGGAGGGCGAAAAAGTGGCGGGAAAAAAAAGCGCTGGTTCTTAATGTATTCCGCCATCTCGCAAGCACGAAATCTAACCTCAAGTCGTAAGAAAAGACCCACGCCGATTAGGTAACGACTCAGGACACCCCTCCTGAATCTGCGCAGCTACCCAAAATCCACACATACCCGGCGCTGTCTCTCTCTCTCTCACACACGTGGTTCATTAACCCAAGGAGGCCCCATCGGCTCGTGGCTACCTCAAGTGGGTAACTCCGACGTCTCCATCTTTCGGTGACTGTGAAACAACCACAAATCGTCGATTTTGAAGCTTCCTATTTACCGTCCTCTTTTTATTATTGACCATTTTTGGAAAAAGAAATCTTTTATTATTATTATTATTATTCATAATTTCAGTATTACCGATTTTATCTTTTATTTTTTTTCATCTTCACATCCTCTTATTTTATTCTCGTTGTTTCAAGACGAGGGAAGAAGAATTGAGAGAAAAACCTAATAATCTACAATGAATTTACGAGAAAAACTTTTCGTTTTAAAAATTTTCATAAAAGATGTCGCTCCTTTATTATCTTGAATCGATTTCAAAATAACATAACGATCATTTATAACATACCAAAAAAACTATAGTTATATTTAAAAATATTATAATTGACATAAAGTAATATTTTAATATTTTTATTTCAAACTAATAAAAGTATATTTTATTTTAAAAAATTATAATATATTAAAAAAATAAATATTTGATCTATTAAAAAATAATAGATCAAATACAAAGGGTGAGTTTTTTTTTTTGTTCGTTTGTTTGACTTGTTTAGTTAATCACATTTTGCGATACAAAGAAAGTGGGATAGTAATGGAGAAAGTTAAAAATGAAATATTTTTTTTTAAAAAAAATTCACCTAATAATAATAATAATAATAATAATGTTGTTGTTGTGATCGTTATTGTTATCTGCCCGATTTCGAGGTCAACCATTCAATTAATTTTGACCAGCTTCTCAACTGCCACGACCACCCTCGGCTAACTGCGCTCCTCTTACGCGTGGTCCGTCTCCTTTCCTTGGCCACTAGGAACACGGTTCGCTTTCTTCTCTCCATCCGGACGGTGGCGATACTTCTTATCGGAACCCCATCGAAAGAAACGAACAAGAAAAGTTCTCCTTTTTCCAATCCAATCAGAGAAGAATCATCGGTGAGTCCTTCGATCTGATCGCGATCGCGATTGCCTCTTCTCCTCTTCCTCTTGGATCCTTCAACTCGATATATAATTTTTCGTCTCCCTTTCCATTCAATTCCATCGGATCCCCTCTTCTCCTCCTCTCTCCCTCCCCCCCGGTCCCCTTCTCTTCTAGAAATGGTGGTGGAAGAAGCTGCTACGGCCGCCGTGGTCGATCCCGCAAACTCGTCCAAGGGAGGAAAGCAGCCACGCAGGGGGGTTGTCTCCCGGCTGTGGAGAGGGATTTTTGGGGCCGACGATGACTTCCAGAAGAAGTTGGAGCACCTCTCCAAGGAGGAGGCATCGGTCCATGCGAGGTTGAAGAGAAGGGCTAAGTCGTCGCGGAAGATGACCAGGAATATCATAGTATCCTCCGTGATTCTCGAGGTGAAATATTGCTCTTTTTTCTTGCCAACTCCTTCAATCGGAATGGATTGATGTGTTTAAAATCAGATTTTTCCTCTCTTTTTCATTGTTCATTGTCTAGTGGCTTTGATAAATTTGGGGGGGGGGCAAAAAAAGTCCTGGAGGTTATGTTTAAAACAAGGAAGAAAGTTCTATTCTCTGACGAATTGGAGAATAAGTTTAGAAGAGATGCATTGATTAACTTTGCAAAGTGCACAAGTAGCCTAGTTATTAATTATTAAGTGAAATAAATTAGAAAACAAAACCCAAAAAAATTCATAATAATATGGAAGATTTAGTTCCAATTGGAGGGTAATCTTATACATTGTTGAACTTCTTAGTATAACCATCAACTCCAATTTTCTTATACTCGGTCTTAATTCGGTTTGTTGTGGTTGTTGGTTTCCTGACTATGATGTTTCCCTACTTAGGTCACTTTCCCCTCCAATTTTCATGATTAATAAATAGCCATCTTTGGTTGCTGACTAGCTGGTCTCAACAATATATTTCCAAAGTTTCCAGCCTTGTTAATTGCCTGTGTCAACTTTGTGGACAATTTTCTGTGGTATCTGCCTTCTATGCTATGGCATTCATTCTTGATGCAATTCAAAAGTTCCTTTCTCTTATATTTTTCAACCTAAAATTACTTTCTTTTTCATATTTTCGCTCAACATCATATAGAAGATTACCACAGTTTTCTATCTTGATCTTTCACCTTTGGATGTTCCTGTCTGGAGTGACAACACAATCTGCTCCTGTAAACCAGCAACTATTTCTTAGGCAGTAGACTGCTTTACAAACTTATCACATGTTGTCTTGTGGAATAATACAAAGTCAACTCTCATAGTCTGAGAATTTTCATGTTTGACTTGCTGTTGCATTGGGTTATATATACGTTGGAAGTTGTTGATGATACATATTGGATTTATTTGTTGATTTAGTTTGGCGCGGGGAATTCCTGTCAACATTGGTAACTCTTGGCATGTATTTTTCTTTTTGACTTAACGAATTACTTGGCTACTGACTTAAGAAAAAAAATTCAAGTCTGATCTTGGTTTCTGAAAGCAGCTACTTCTTACCAGGTGGTAGCCGTGACTTGTGCTATAATCACTACAAGATCAGTGGACTTGGATTGGAAGATGAGGGCTATTCGTGTATTGCCCATGTTTGTATTACCTGGCTTGTCAACTATTATCTACTCCGCACTTGTAAGCTTCACAAGAATGCGTAAATATCAAACTCTTCACCAGCTATTATTAATTTAATAGTTTATTCCATTTGCTCCATACTTTTGTATGAGTCGCCCGATATTAGATAATCTTATAGTATAATATTTCATTTCTCTATCTTTATGGTTTACATATGTGTTAGTCCATTCTGTAAAAGTACCTTGGTTTATGCTTTCTAAAATTGTGGGTAATTGATCTCGTTTCCCTTTCAATTATCTTAGTATACAGATATTGCAAATAGTTTGAGTGAACTACTTGCACAAGGAGACTATCTTTTATGAGTAGAATATATTTCCATATGAGACAATCAATTAAAGCTCATTGGCCAAAAAGATATCCATGCAGTCAACCCCAAGCTGTTGAGACATTATGGTTGTTGTAGTAGTTGTTGGGACACTATGGCTATTGTAGTAATTTCTGTTGTACAATTGATTGAAGCCAAAAGTTGTAGCTATAAGCATCACTCGGTTCCCCATGGAAAAAAGCAATTTAATCTATTCTAAATGATATCATACAGTATGGTTTTCACCAATTATGTTTCATTCACAGTGTCTTGTTTATTTTGAAAAGCTTTGTTGCTTAATAATCTCATTCAGAATGGGCCCCACATGTCCATCCTGAAATTCTATTTTTCATAAGACTGGTTAAAATAGTCTACATATGGTTAGCCATTTAGACCATGAACAGAAAAGATGATGCACAAATTTTGTACTCTGAGAGTAAGTTGGATATTAAGGGATAGATAACTATTATTTTCTAGGTCATTGTAATAGAGTTTGAATGTCATCATAAGAATAGATTTCCTTGGCAAAAAAAGCAATATGTAACAGTGATTGTAGCTTCTAAATGTTTGAAGCCTTGTGATTGTTTTATGATGTAATTGGTCAGGTCAAGTAAATTAAAAGTATTTTCTATTCTCATACTAAAATGAGATGTATGGCATTGATTTTCGGAATTTTCATCTGAATTAGTTCATGTGCTGCAAAGTTCATGTAAATTTCTTTTATATGACCTCCTTAGTTTGTACGTAAGGGGAGTTCTGCTTTTTATTGTGTGGTCTGTCATTACTTTTGGAAGGAAGCAGAGTTTGGGTGCTTCATTAACATTTTTTTAGTTTCTGTTTGTAACGGTGGTTGCTAGATTAGTTTAGCATCACAAGTTTGTCTCATTGCTCTGGTTTTCTTCTCTTCAATTTTCATTATCTTCCTTTTCTTTAACAAATTTGCAGGATAGTTACTCCACTCCTACCTAAAAAGGTGTAATATAATTCATGTTGCAGTTGTGGCACCGTCATGCCCAATATCAATTTGCTCTGTCCATGCTTGTGGAAGCCTGTTATTACACATTGCTGTTTGTTGAACTGAGTGCAAATATGTAGTAGATTTCTGTTTTTAGATATTTGTGCATCAGGACATTATACTTTCTTTTCTACAGTTGATGATAAGGACCAGAAAACCCTCGAAAGGCTTCGTGCTGAGAGGCAAGCAAAAATTGATGAGCTCAAGGAGAAAACAAATTATTACAACACACAACAACTTATTCAGGTTTGTTCTTGATATCTCTGTTACCCTTGCACGCTTGCTTTCACTCTCTTGTATTGCTTGCCTTCTGTTGTGTTAAACATGTTTTGGGGTAAAATCATGGCCCTCTTTTTATGGTGTACTTTGTTCATTTTATCGAACTTATACTCCATGTGTTCCTTAATTGTGCTGCTTGCTGGCATTTGTTAACGGTTGTTTAAGTGTGTATATCACTGACTGAACTTTTGAACCAGAGGTATGATCTTGATCCTGCTGCAAAGGCGGCGGCGGCAACTGTTCTGGCATCTAAGCTTGGGGCAGATTCTGGCTTGAAAGTCCATGTGGGCGATGAATCTACTTCAAGCACACTCGGTAAAAGCAATGATGTTGAGCTGGTGCAGTCTTCTGGGCTGCATAACAGGAAACCGATGCATAGGAGAGGTCATAGCACCGGGAGCAGCACAACATCTCAGATCATCGACAAAACACTTAATGAGTATGTTGCCGATACCCAAGAAATTGGTTCTCCTAATCAGAGGGTTGTTGAACACTTCAGAGGTTCAGCCTTGGACGATGGAGGTTGGCTTGCTCGGGTAGCAGCCCTGCTCGTGGGAGAGGATCCAACTCAGTGCTACGCACTGATATGTGCCCACTGCCATATGCATAACGGTGGGTAGAGCAATGCCCATTACTTTTCCTAACTGGTTTTCTCAAAACTTACGGATGGAGTATATATGCAGGACTAGCTAAAAAAGAGGATTTCGCATACATAACATATTACTGTCCGCACTGCCATACTTTGAATGGAGGGTCAAGACACTCAGAGGAAGAATTGGGATCCAGTTCAGGGAAGGACACACCTACCTCTTCACTAGATGGTGATGCTATAAGTCGTAGCAAGAACAATGCAAACTCGATTACCAGAAATGCTGTTGTGAGCAGCTTAGCAACTGTAGAAGAGATTCCTGGTGGAGGAACTGATGAGAACGTGCTGGATAAGCATGGTAGTGGCAGTCCTGCTTCAGCACAAGAGATTCCTGAGGAGGTTGATGAGAAGGAGCTTGGTAAACATTCTAGTTGAAGCTTAGGATCGCTGTTCGAATCGGTTGCTGTGTGATGACAAAGTGTAGTCGGCTTTCTTTCATGTGTATATGATTAAGACAGGTGTTTTCACCTGTTAGTAGATGCGTGTACTGTAATAAGACCGATTTGTTGATGCCTATTTGATGAAATTATAATGTTTCATTAACTTTTGGAAACTAATTATCTGTTTCCAATTTTTTTCATCCATATAAAAAAATGCAAATTCTCAAAAACAATCCTAAGTTTTTTTTTTTTTTCTTGTAGAGTGATCCCTATTTAATTTATTTCTACATAGGCTTTTTATTTTTCTAAATGACAAGATTATTCTTGGCATTCGTCTTATCAGTCTTTGCCTTGTTGTGGTTGTTTTTGTTTCTCATGCATTGTTGTGACATCCTCCTCCATCGCCAAGGCTGTTGTTTGTCGTTGCTCTCACATTTGTCGTCTGTCTTTGACATAACCTACGTCTTCAGATGACTCCTATCATGCCATTTTTGAGGAGACATCCTCAACATCCTCCTTTGCCTCTTGGATTTGAGACCTTTCATGTTGAAGAAGCACCATCGGCTTCAACTCCGTCGCTTCCACCTTATGTTGTAGCTCGATCAAGGGAGCAAAGCAATCGAGAAAAAGAAGTGCGAGCAATGCTTGCCACAGTGAACCACACAGAGGAGAAGAGAAGAGAAGCTCCAGCCCCACCATCATCGCCTCCTTCCTCTTCGTCGAGGTCAAGGATTGCGATGCGTGAGGACTTGATGATCGGTATGATGAAAGGTGATGAGACGAAATGATCAATGACCACGATGCGTGAGAAGAGCCTGATAATTGGTGTGGTGAAAGACACAAGACCTCGTGACGATAAAGATAACAAAAACAATACCATGATTATCTTATTACCCACAATCTTAATATTGTTGGACAACGATAAGATAAAAGATAGACGATTGTTAAGGTAGGTATAAGATATAATTTATCTTTTAGAAAAAAAAAGTTTTATCAAAATAAAATGAAAAGATGCTATGCCGAAAAAAAAAACTAAGAAATTTTTTAAATGAATTTATCCTAAAAAAAATTGAAGAAGTAGCCAACTTTTGTTTCTCTAGCCTTCCATGGATGCTGATTATAAGGTTGACTCGTACCACTTTCACAGATCAGGAGAAACATATCTTGAGCAGGCAAACGAGCCACGGCCTCAGACGACGAATAAAAGAGAAACGAACACACGCCTACCATAAAAAAATATTTACACATAATTTAATTTAATTTTCTAACGCATTTTTAGTGGCCTCCTCCTCCCTAAACCCTTAATCAATCCCGGGGGCACTCCCTGTTCTGTTCCGGTCCGTTCTCACGAGTTGCTTATCCTCTTGCGAAAGCCCTCTTCTTCGAACCATCCATATCAGGTCTTCGTCTACGGCGGGCATCTTCTTCTTCTCGTTCTCATGGCTCTTAGCGGCAGAGTTGGAGCATCATGGCCTGCTCTCAACTTCTGCAACCCGGTCCCTTCGGCTCCCCCCGTTTCTACCCTGCCCATGCCGTCTAAGTCGAGGGATGTGATGGCGTTGGTCGCCGCTGCGACCGGCGGCGGGTTGGGGTCGTCGAGAGGAGGAGCCGGGCTGTTGGAGCGCCCCACCTTCGACCAGTCCCAGTTCGACCCCCTCCCCGAAGCCCAAGAAGGTAAACAAACTTTCCTCGTCGATTAAACCATTCACTGGGTCTATCTGCCCTAAAACACTGTTCTTTTGTGTCCGCAGGTGGAGACATAGGCAGGCTTGCGTCGAGGAAAGGCCTGGGAAGCGGAGACAGCTACAAAGTTCTGCTCATTGATGATCCACGCCACACGGAGAAGCTAGGTATGCGTACCATCATCTATATCTGGATGCCACTTCTTCCTCTCAAGGGCTAAGACCGCCGGGGTGAGACGTTGAGTTGCGCCCAAAATATGATTTTTGTCATTGACGTGTAGCCCCAAATTGCCTCCGTTTTGGTTCCTCGAATTCTGAAGCTTCTTCCCCTACAATTTTGCAGTGGAAAATGTTCTGCCACAAGTCGTGCCATCCGTTACAGCCGACGGTGCGAGACAACTATTTCGCGAGTCTCGGCAACTGGGTGTCGCAGTGGTTATTGTTACTGTTAAGGTATCCATCCTTACGTTAAGCATTAAGGAAGAAAGAGATCTTTGCCTTGTGATTCTGACATGCTGATGCCATGTGATGGAGCAGGAGCACGCGGAGTTCTACGCGCAGATGATGGTACGCCGTGGGTTGCGTTCCGCGATAGAACCCGATTCCAACCTGGAAGCATGAGGAACAATAACGCATCTTCGCAGGAGTTCTGTCGAGCATAAGGCGTTCGATTTTGTCAGAGCGGAGTCATTTAATCACTTTATTATTTTTTTACTAGTTTTTGATGCATGACAAACTTCTTTATCGTTGAAATCCGAGAATGCATGTTATGTAATGCTTGAATGGAAGGAGTAGTTCATCCAATAATCGACCTGAAGCACCCTTTTAAGCGCAATCGTCACTGTAGCAGCTCTTGCTTAGCTTTGTCGATAGGAGATAACTGATGCGTATGAGAAGACTCGAGCACCTGCTGGTTCTCTCCAGATAAATATCAACACCTAAAACTTGAAGCGTCCATCCTGTTAGATAGGGAACGGTCAATATCACAAGACTGCTGCTGCTAGCTATACACTGCTGCGACATGTTCATGGTTCATATATTTCCAAATAGTGCTATAATACACTGCTAAGTTAGTTCAAAAGTTGGCCAGAACCTATAACCCAGACGATCACTGGTGGTGATTGAGATCTTGAGCTGAAAACACACATGGAAGCGTTGCATGTGATCTACAGTTTCCAATCGATGGGAGAAAGGCCGAGTTTCTCCAGTGCCCGATTTGTCTCAGAAAAATGCCTGTAACATGAAGAACTTACCATCAGAGAAGAAAATTCAACTTGTATACCGAGCAGCTACCAACTAAATTCATCCCATATGCATATTAACAGGATAGCCTGAGCTAGCATGCTCACACCCGAGACAAGTATCTTTTACTGTATGCATAAAGGAACTTCGTTAACATCGGTCATTAACCTAGGAAACAACCTGCATCCGAAGAACCCTCTGTTAGCAGAAAGGCCAGAAGGATGAGCAGCCCTCAAGATGCGATGTTTTGACCCATCAATCAGTCTGCAACAAGCAACATAATAACCATAATTCAAATGGAAGTGCAGCATCAACAGCTAATTTTTGCATGTCATATCCAATAATCCGAGACTGTTTCTTTGTTGTTGTTTGGCAATGTTGTCCAATTTTTAATCATTTTAACCAGAAGGCATAAACCAGGTCAAACCACACTAGACCAAGCAAAATATATACGTATACAAGCCCAGCAAATTGGAATAAAAAGAATATACCTTGATTTTTCTTGAGCAGAATTTCCCCACAGAAGGAAAACAACTCCTGATTTCTTCTGTGATATTGTTCGAATGATAGCATCAGTAAATGGCTCCCACCCCTTTTTGGCATGTGAATTAGCTTGATGATTCCTAACTGATAAGGGAAATATGTTAAATTAATATATATATATATATATATATATATATATATATATAGTTGGACAAGCTAAAGCAACCTCCAAGCATTTTTGTTGGACTAGATAGTACCATTTGCCTAGTTATCAGTAATCTAATAAACTACGGTTCGCTAGTAATGAAATTGAAGCCAAGGATTAGGAAAAAAAAACATAAATGTCTTTTATGGTAACATTTCATTATTGCCTATTAGGAGTCACTGAGTTGCGACCAGTCCAAATTCTTCTACCAACAAACCCTTCGCTTAAAAAGAAAGGCAAAGAGCAGAACCAAAATTGCACTATTAAGCATACTCCAGAACAGCTATTGTTGACATGGTTGAGTTAACCTTAATCCAATCCAACAATTAGCTTATATATATCACAGATAACCTCACCAAAGCAAGTTAATTTCTTCAACCATTTAGGAAGAGATGCTGGATATTTAATAGCCACAACCAGTACCAAATTGCAAGAAGATAATAACTCCATAAAATTTCTACTTCACGTCATCCGTCGCTAGATTAATGTAACATATTCCACAAACTAGCAGCGCAGAAAAACAATAAATAATCAGTCAAGATGCTACCAGAGGAAGAAAACATACCAGTGAGGACAGCATTGAGCAAAAGAACACCCTACATTAATATCCAACATCAGTTCAAAAGACAAAAACAAGCAAATAAGCAGAATCAGTTAATTTTGGATATCCAATATCAATCATGAAACACGAGATTTCAGATACTAGAATGTTTTAATTCAATATTGTGAAAATTAAAATTTTTATGTCAAAAGAAATCACTTGTTACTATTATTTCATGAAACATCAGTTAAGAAAGTTGTTAATCAACAAAATAAATTCCAAAATGATGATAATAATATACTTTTTATACAGAAATTATTGGAAAAAAATTCTTCAAATGATATAATCAGTAGTCCAACTATATTATCAACTCTTTTTCCAACAATACTAGAGGAGGTTGAATAAAATTTACAAAAAAAATAGAGAAATATAAGAAAAAGGCAACATAAACCTCTTAGAGGTACTGAGCGATGCACGTTAAGTTAGTCATGCCATAAAAGATGGTTTATCTTGTCCCTCGAGGCTAGATCTGCATTTAATATCTCCCATCTAACAAAAGCATGATTGGTGATAACTTGGTTGATACCATTAAAAATTATCAATTCAGCATGAGTAAAAAAGACTTAAAAGAAGAAGATTGCTCTGAGTCCATGAGATGTGTTATTTATGATTCACACTTAAGAAGCAACAGATCATTGACTTAAAATATATTCACATGTGCAAAATGCCTTTCTCAAAATGGCATGATATATGTCTAAACAATTCTGTGATATTGTCTACCTGTACAGCCCATCTTTCCAGATTTCCGTGCAATGGCACAGAATGCCCCAGATCTTCTTTAAGTTCCTTAAAAATGTTGACTAGGCTGGAAGGAATCTTGACCCCACCTGGTACCGAGAAAGCAAGACCCATGGCTTGACCATGTCCATGATATGGATCCTGTACGATAAGTATCTATTGTCTTCAATTCGAAAGATATGAAGAAAATGACAAGATAGATTCATGAATTACCAGATTATATGCATCACAGAAGAGAAATTTTAGATAAGTGGGAAGAGGAATTCAAAGCAACTATGGGACAGACATACTGACATCAAATATGCAGAAGGTAGCATTCAAGTTTATGCTTGGATAAAAGAAAGTATTCTCAATATAGGAGTTGATAAATTTCCTTCATTATTCTTCGCAACTAAAGTCTTGCTGAATTTTGTTATCTGTCAAGCAGGCTTTGAAATCCATTTTTTTCTGCTTGCCCCTGTCCATCTAATATTGGCACAATAATGAGCTAAATTAACATGAGATTTGAGATATCCTTGGATATTTATGGTATTCAGCATGTCTTACTGTAACCATGACAGAAACCGAAAGAGCTTAAGTATAATCTAGTGTTCTATCATTATTCTTATTAAATGGAGATGGCATGGAATGTCCAATCTAGAACACTAGATATATCCAAAAATGTGGCTTCAAGTAGAAAATTAGAAATTACAAGTAAAAGAACAAGATCTAAGTTACACTTTCTAAAAGTGATTGTATGGAATAGATAAAGAGAAGTTATGATGCAGGAGAATGTAAAGGACTGTAATGTATGGCAAAAGCTTGCACCTAGAAAATCCTAATACCTTTCTCTAGAGCAAACTATGTAAAAAATTCTATGACAACAGGACACACTGACATTTCTGAACTAACAAAATGCATCATCGAACCGGCTCCCTTCTCCAAAGGAGCGCACAAAATACATCCTTCTTAAAGAAAAGTGAGAGAGTCATTGCAAACACCAATGGCGAGATGCAAAGGGGAAATATACCTGTCCGATGATCACAACCTTCACTTGATCAAAGGGTGTCAAATGGAGAGCATTAAATATAAGGTATGGCGGAGGGTAGATCGGAACACTCCCTCGCGTCTCCCGCTCCACAAACCTACAAAGATTTTTAGCGTACGGTTTCTGAAGCTCCCCTGGGAGAGCCTCCAACCAGCTTTCCTCCACCAAAAGCTCCTCCAGCTTCACATAATCCATCCCTTCGGCTGGCATTGCCCATACAATCAGCCACCACTCGTGGAACAAACCAAAAGGAGCTGTAAACCCTAACAAAGTTCCGAGTACCTTTGGCCTTCTCGACTCTTTCTCTGCAGATCCGGAGGTTTCGCTTCGAACGCGCAAGGGCCTTGTTGATCTCGATCCGCTGCTTCTGCTCTGGGGTGAGGGCGGGGGCAGCAGCGGACTCCGGCGCGGGGTCGCGGCGGGCGGGGGAGGCCTTACGGAGTGGGGAGACAGGGGAATGGGGGATTAGGGCGTCGGGGGGTTCGGATGGAGAGAGAGGGCGGAGCCGCTTCGCGGGATGGAAGAGCTCGTCAAGGTTTTTGGCGGACGAAGCCATTTTTTGCCCTTCTCCTTTGTCTCCCATTCTTTCTTTTGGTTGGGTGCGTCGGCGCGGCCAATTATAGACGACGATGCCCGGCAGACGTCGTTTTGGCGGGAGGTGGGCAACGTTGCCTCCCGTGCCGTTCTAGGGATTTGAATTGGACGTATATATTAATTATAAATCAACTCGATCATTCGCGGAAAATGTAAACCGAGCTCGAGTCCAGATTGAGCCACATTTAATCCACCTATATATATATATATATATATATATATGTATATATCACGCTTTACCTGGAACGGCCGCGCTCGAGTTGCCGCTGCCTGCTGCCGCGTTCGTCCCCATGGTCGCGCCGGCAGGCTCGATTCGAGCCTCCTTCTCTAAGATTTCTCGTTTCTCCTTCGAGGTCGTCCGCGAGTTATCGAAGGAAACTTGTATGGTTGTTCTTTTTTTTGCCCCTTAGACGGAGATTATAGGGTTTCGAGCAATCCGGTAAAGCCGCCGTAGAGAATTGTGGATCGATTGCAGGTGGTCTGGGAGTCTTCAATCAACTGAAGTCCTTCAAGCATTCGCCAGTCCTGCAATCTGTTATCGTGGCTGTCCAGGTTCGATTCATTTGTTTCTTTCGTAGAATGTCGTCGTTCCCTATGTGGCTAGTGTTACCATCGATTGAATTGTCTTGATTTACATGACGAGGAAAGTTGCTATATATTCATCAGGCATGTTTATAATGCCCTACTCTCATCTTGTGAAAACTTATTTAGCAAGATTCTCCCTTTTATGTCAGAGGTTGATGTTGAAATTTTTGTTTGAACAGCCACAGAAAGTGAAGTTTCAGCTGAGATCGGGACAAAGTGAGCCCATATCTGATGCAATCAAGATTGTTCAAAATTCTTCATCATGGCCAATCATCCTTTATCGTGCCTGTAAACGTACAGTAGAAGGTAATATGTCACATTTGATTACCAAATATAGATTTTTTGAAGTTCTTTCTTGTTCTTTCACGTATGACTTGCATAGGCGTGCTATGTCTTTTATGTTACTTTGCACAGTGAGACAAACTTTGATTCTCCTAAGATGAAAGGAATGTTTTCCTTGAAATCTCATATTCTTATGATATAATCAGTTAGTTAAATTATTTGTTGTTTGTTATATAAGTGCATGGATGCATCAAATTCCATTTCTTTTTAATGAAGTGTTCGTTGTCTTTATTCGTTTAGTTGATTTTGCTGATTTGATGGCGATCTATAAGGATTTTCAAGTTAGACAAATATTGTTTCCAACAGGTTGCTTTTCTTTTTTTATTTTTTCAAGCATTTCTTTTCCTTTTGCGGTTCAGATCATGAATATTGTTGTTATATTATAAGCCAATTCTTAATGATCAATCAGGCCATTGTCTCTAGGATCTTAGAATCCAATGGTATTGATCTTGGGATCTGAATCAAAGTTACCCAAACAATGCCGGGGCACATTGTTGGAATAATACCAGGGTAGCTTCTATAGACCAATGAAATGCGACATTCCCTACATGATAAAACTCCATCCTATCTGTGCCCTGCATGTGGTTCAATTAATATTTTGGGATTTCGTATATTAGAATCACATATCTGTTGCTGATTAGCGCTTGTGCACAAAAGCAATCTCTGTTTTTCTGTGGGATCTTTGAGAGTAAAGAAAATTTTGGCTTCTGAAGTTGAGTAGATTAACACTTTGGTGAGAAAATTTATATACTGCCGGAACAATAGTTGTACGTGGATTTTGAGATTTACTCCTTGCATTACTGTCCTAGGACATCACTTTTTTTTTACTTCCGTTCATACTTATATTCTTCGTTTGTATCTTCGATATTTGATATTTGTTTATAATATGATGTGATGGGCCAATGAACTGATAGGTTAACTTTCTTGTGTCAGGCCAATGAACAGAGATGTTCGTGTTGTTACTCAGTTAGTTAATTTTGTCTAAATTGTACGACACTCTTGCATGTTCATCCGTAAAAGTCAACCTTCCCGAAATCTCATATGGTCCCTTAGGACCTACAAAAGAGAAAATGGGTTAAAGAAAACGTTTCATTCGGGATCCACAAGCAATCATTTTAGTAAATATTTTATAGCCAATGTAAATTACAAACAAACTTCACAATCTTTGAACGGTCGCACAACAAAGGGTAAAAAATGATCCACTATAGATCAAGATCTCCTACAAGTATCCACATTGTCAGGAACAAGTCGGCATTAAGAGGGGGGGTGAATTAGTGCAGTGGTAAAAATTACGTCGGTTCGAAATCTCTCGTTTTGTTAAAATCGATTTCGGAAAGTTACTTAAAATTGAAAGCGTACTGAAGAGCATAGTGGATGTAAAGCAAATAAGTTTGTAGTAAAGGTAAATTGCACAAATAGAAATGCAAATCAATGTTTCTTTCTTTTTTGACTCTTAATTCTTGTGTATGTTAACCAAAGATGAGATGGGTATTTATAAGCCTCAAGTTTATTCAAACTTGGAGCCTAAAAATGTCTCATCCCGGGTTTCTCGGGTCCTGGTGGTATCACCGCTTGGGAGATTGTGTTTGGGCAGTACCACCTGTTGGGTCATTGTTTGGGTTTTTCATTGGGCCCAACATAGTCCATATATGGGCCCAATTGGCCCCTAATTGGGGTTGGCCTAATTTCAATCTCAATTATGTGCTAACTATGAAATTTAAGACATTGACTAAGCTAAACAAGTCCGTAAGTCTAGGTTTCTTCCGGCGAGCTTCTGATGATCTTCCAGTGAACTTCCGATGATCTCTCGGCAATGTTCCAGCGGACTTCCGACAAGCTCCTGGACTTCACGACGATCTTCTTGGCGAGTTCCGACAAGCTTCTTTGGCAAGCTCCTGGACTTCTCGATCAATTCCGGTAGAACTTCCGACGAACTCTTGAACTCCCAACAAAATCGTGTTTTTGACTCCGGGACTTTATTTTGCTTTATGCCGTGCTATCATAGTTAATCATGCACATATAAAATCTATTTTGATATATATAATTATTACAAAGCAAATCAAGTGTTGTTCGGTATGTCATTGGTTTATCAGCACTTTGCCCGAATCTTCGACGCATCGTCCTCTCTTGCGGCCTATTGCCCAATCAACCAGTTGACCTCCGCAACTCCGATTTACTTAGCGTAATTTTCACTCTTTTTGGCCCGATGCCCGAACTCATGGCTCGAAGCCTTCTGTCGATATGCCGACCGATCCTTCGGCTTGACGTCTAATCTTCTGACATGTTTTTCTCCGACCCAACATGATTCTTCCTGCTTTAATTGTCTCTCTCTGATCGAAGCATCCCGCGTCACTCAAAACGCAGATCAAATCATAAATACTATCAATTGGTTTTATCATCAAAATCCGATATTCAATAATCTCCCCCCTTTTTGATGATGATAACCAATTGATGATGGAGTTTAAACAAACTCCTATTAATATGTCATATTAATAGAACTTTTGGATTCAAAAATCCAAGCAACATGTTATCATAAAATTATGCATAACATCATACTTCTCCCCCTTTGTCATCAAAAAAGAGAAGTGCAACTTTCAAGTGTTTGAGATATAAGTTTTACAACATTGCATAATAATCATAATATCAAGTTTTATCATCATTACTTGTAAGTTAGCAAATTTAGCAAGTGCTACATCATATTAGAACATGCAAGCTAGCAGATTTTATCACTTTACAACATGTATAACCACCAAATCTTCATTAACTTTAAAGATGTGTAAGATTATAAATTTTGCAAGCTTACATTTTTGCTTCTCTTTTGAGATGAGCAAGCTAGCAAGTTTTGCTCTCTTTGCCATGTGCAAGCTAACAAGTTTTAGCTTCTTCTTCCATATATCATCATGCAAGCCAACAGATTTTATCTCCACCTTTGTCATTGTCAAAAAGAAAGGAAGAATACAATTTGTAATTCTTTTTCCCTTTACATCTCATTCTTATGCATGATACTAAGACATTAAATTTTTTAAATATTAATCACTTATTTTCTCTCCTTTTCCATCAATTTTCAAATCATCACATAAAGAATAACAAAAAAAATTAATTTGGTGATGAGTTATACTTCATCGAAACAAGGGAGTATCAAAACATGGAAGAAAAATCAATTTGTGTATACAATGTTCCAAACATCAAAGCACATCATCTCAAGTTGTGAGAAAAAAATAATCAAGGAAACATTATGATTCATTTGGACAAATATTTTTTTAATAAAATGTAAGAAATCATTCGAGAATAAAAAGTGAGTGATCTTGATTCACATAAGGAAAATATCAAGTTTTGATCTCGAGAATTCAAGATCATGATTTTAATAATGCTTCCGTTTAATATATAGCAAGTAGAATCATAGGAGATCAAATAGTAAAAGATATTCAAAAAAAATTTTAAGTCATGAATTTCAAAAGAGATGTTCTCTTTATTAAATGACAAAAAGAGACATAAGAGATCAAATGATATAATATCTTGATTCATGCAAAAGAAATCTCAAGTTATAATTTTTTAAAAAATCAAGATAAAAGTTTATTCAAATTCAAATCGTCAACGTAAAATCACTTTTAAGAGATTCAAAAAATAACAAACATACATTCATTGATATCCTTTTTTAAAGATCGATAAAGTAGGGATTGAGAAATTCTTTAAGAAAAATATTTTCCTTCCCCCTTTTTTTATTTGATTTATTTCACACAAGAATGCCCAAGTTTTTTGTGTCGAGTCAAAGCATGCATCATCATTTAAGATCTAAAAATAAATTTTATCATCATGACAAAAAATATAACACATTAAACATAAGGCTTCTTTAAACAAACGATTTGGTTTATCATTTTGATTCCAATGATTATATATATA